GATGATAGTACGGTCTTGTGCGGGTGGGAAAAAGGAAGGAAATTAGCTGAAAAATACTGTCTGTGAGGGCCTCCTCTTTGCTGGGTGCTGGGCACAGCGCGGCACACGTGTTTGGCACCCCATGCCTCCTCCCAGCCCATGATTGTCTGGCCTAGCCTGGCTCAGCTCAGGCAGAAGCAGGCCCAGCCTTGTCAAACCTCAACAGCTGGATCCCCAGCCAGCTGTTCCCCCCAGGACGCCCGCTCTAGCAGCGTCTCCACCAAAGAAGCAAAGGTGCTTTTTTGTCACCCCCTCCAGCAGCATTTTCCAGCTAACGTCCAACCCAGCAGCACAGGGATAAGGAAGGAAGCAGATACGACTGCCAGATAAATCAGACCAACGCCTACAGCCCCCGCTCGCAGGGCAGACCAGCCCAGAGCCAGCGGGAGGAGCAGGCACAGTCCAGCATAGCCAACAGGAGATGGTCAAGGCACTCGTTGTTGCTCATGGTTTTGTTTTTTTTGTTCTCCTAAAAAAAACCCCTAGGACGGGTGGAGACCAGCAATAACCTTGCAATAACCTGCCTCTGAGTCCCAGGGTGACAAGCCAGGGGAGTGAGGACTGCGTTGAAGGTTGACCATCCTGACAGTCCTTCTCCGGAGCTGGTCTGCTCTTGTCCGTGCGGCCGGCACCGGGCAGGGGCAGCCAGCCACAGGGCATCACAGAACCTCTTCAAATAAAAACCTTCCGAGAAACTCGTGGATTTAAAGCCCTGTGGACAGAAGAAAAGACAAAGGTCCCCAGCCCAGGGGATGCTCAGTGCCTGTTCTAAGTGACCTGAATGCTTGTGTTTCATGATTGCAGAGAGAAATCTCAAAAAAGAAAAGGGAAAAAAAAAACACTGAAAAAACAAACCAAACCAGTGAGACAGGTAAGAGGTTGTTACAGAAAAGCCAGATACAAAAAGAAAAAAACTCAAGCCCAGAAATTATGGTGCTTGTTCCTTAAATAACTATTGCAACAAGGAGCTGGGGGCCAGGCAGGGCTTTTCTCCAGCTCCCCCCCCCCCCCAGCTCCAGCCCCACCGGCTCCGGCAGCCTCCCGTGCTGGTGCAGTCCGCTCTGGACAGCGGTAGCTTTGCCCCGGTGGCAGTGCTGCCATACCAGGCATCCCCGGGGTTTGCCCAACCCAGGCAGAGGACTGCCATTGCCTCATGTCCCCAGCTGTGCAGCTGAGGGTCTTTCTCCAGGAGAGACCTGGCCATGATATAGAGGTGCAGGCTTTTTCTGTTTGATCCCATTTACCACGATTGCCTTTTTATTGAACCTTCCAGCATCTCTGAAAGACATCTGACTGATTGACCAAAAAAAAAAAAAAGTGTTTTCAATCACAGTTTCCCTATGTGCTTCACCCCTGTCCTTCCCGGAGGCTTGGCTTGCAGCCTGGCCCCGGGCTCTGCCTCCCTCCTGCCCTGCACCCACTGCCAGGATCTGCCACCTTTGCCTGCGACCCCAGCGCAGAGCCCTGACCTCTGGCCACGCTCCCAACACGGGCCCAACTGACCCCAGCCCATACGTGGGGATGGCAGCGTTGGCCCCAGGGACCGGGAAAGTCTGGGGCACACCTGTAAAACACTGCTGTAAAAGAGCCCGTGTGCCTCTGCCGCTCCTTCCCGCAGTGCAGCCAGGGAGCCTTTTCCACGAACCTCACCACAGCCCAGACCGACACACTCAAGTCCAATCCTGCAAGTCGTCCATGATTAAAAATGGAGCAAAAACTTTGGGAATACAGCTTCTTGACAAAGCTGTCCATTTATAACAAAACAACAACAACAAAAAAAGCACATTTCATTCACCCACTAAAGCTACCTCTAATCTGTTTTTCCCATTCTGAAAGCAAAAGGAAATCTTAACTTTTTTCTCCCCCTTCACTTGCAGCGCAGGCGAAGGCCAGCCCCAGCCTGCAGCATGTGCCCTCAGCATGGCCAGTCCCCACTGTCGCCTCTTGCATCCTGCAGCTGGTGCATCCCACGTCCCACAGCAGCATCCTCCCAGTGCCTGCGGGCAGCTCGTGCGTGCTGGCCCGCCTGCCTCTGCCGGGACGAGGAACCGCAGCAGCTTGAAGATGGTAAGTGACCCCGTGTCATGTTGGCCCCCCTCACAGCACAGGCACGTGGGACCTGATCCAAAGCCCTCCCTCTCGCGCCCTGGCTAGCCACGGCTGCTGTGCCTGGGGTCCCTGCCTCTCCTTCGAACCTTAGGATTGCCATAAATCAGAAGCAGGTCCTGCAGAGATTGGCTGGAGGGATCGGGACACCAGTCCTGTGGGATTTTAGCTGCCTTTTGCCTTTCCCCTCTAAACCGTCCTACCATTAATCAATCCTTAGACAAGGGAGCGCCCGTCCCGCTCCTGGCAGGAGGGGGAGACGCTAGCCCCTAAAGCAGCGTTTCTCCCGGTTCCTCTCCTTCCCTCCCAGGAGGCAGGTACCCCCTCAGCTGCAAACACTCGCTCACGCCAGCAGACGCCAGTCTGCAGCGGAGCATCGGCTTGGCGACCTTGGCCACCTCTTCGCTGT